TACAAGGCCAAGAACCACTCTAGGTAGAGGGTAACAGAGTAATAAGCATAGTTTATGGGGGTATGTTGACTTTAGTGTAATGATAGAGGAAGCAATCTCTGGGATGCTGGTTCCACAGAGTAGTGAAGATGAAACAAAACTAGCTTAAAATGTTCTCCCTTTGCAACTAATCTCCTCCATTGTAAACTGAAACAATTAGATACTAAATAAAAAATTACAAAACCTTAAGTAATTGGAATATAGACACACAAGAGTAATCTAGAAATATTCTTTTGGGATAAAGGGCAAGTTTTTTTTTAACTGAAATCATTTTTTTTATATTTATCTCCAAAATTTCAACTATTTCAATCACTACATCTTCAGAGAAGAGTAAAGAGTACAATAGCTGAAATATGAAGAGAGAGAAAAAAAAACTCAGATGAGAATACAAAGCCTGAATAAATGACAACCATTTCTTTTCATTTCAATGCAATTGAAACATGAGGCAAAATAATAACATCTGTATGGAAACCAAGACAGACAAGTTGGGTCTCCATGAATATGCATACAGTCAAAGCCCTTAAGTTTTGACATTGCACATCACAAAGATGCTACTAGAACCTGCTTACACCAATGAGCTCCTTATAATAAGGAGGGACTGAAAAGTTCTCAGCCTGACATATACAATAATCTGACCCAATGGCCAGACACAAGTTTTCTTTTGGAAAGGCCTTTTGAAAGAACATTCCAACATCCCCCTCCTAATATACACTGATATGCCAGTAGTCACTAGTCACAGTATATAAAGATAATGGTAGGTGGCACTACTGTACCCTTACATTATGGACCTGGTTTTGCTCAGACATCGGGTGAGTCAGTGTAAACGCTAGCTATACTGCTTACGACATGGTGAAGTCAATTACTGAAGATCAACTGGGGCATAATAGAAGGTGTCAGATGTGTATGGGGCATTCCATTTTTTAAATTATGGGGATATTTAACATCCTGAGATTTACAGTGTCATGTGTATACCAGGAATACCCATTGGAAAGCATTATTGCCGGCTGTGGACAGCATAGTTGTCAACTACATACAGGCCTTTAATTATTGTGACCAGAGGGACCTGGTGGGAATTGTCTTCAGAAAGAGGCAAACAACACTGACTTAAATCTCATCTAATACAGAAGGTACTGAACAAACATTCAGCTGATCATTTCAACATTCTTTAGCTTCCATGAAGGATAGGAGAATAGAAAACTCACCAGGGTGGCCCCTGTTAACACTACAACAACAGGAGACATAGAGCCTGATCCAGATTCATGAAATTGTTAAATGGCCGCCAGAAGTCTGGCAACAAGTGGCATGATCTGATGAATCATAGTTCCAGTTGTTTTAAGGTAATGGCATGGTTCATGTACAGCACAAATCCAAGGAAATACCAATAAGGTTCACAGGCATCACCTTACATAAAACTTGCAGTTGTTAACAAGATGTGTTGTGAATATGACAACAAAGATGAAGACAACCATCTGAACATTGTAAATAGTTACAATACCTCATCTCAGAAATATAGACAGTTATTCATACTGTTTAAAATAAAAAATACAATTTATAAAAAAGAAACAACAAAACAAGGGATTTACTTAAACATGGACATCCACAAAAATAACATTTAGAGTAGTAAGAAATAACCTAAGATTAAAAACAGACTATCAATTCATTAGAAACTGCTTTGTGACCATTTACACCTCTTAATTTCATGTACCCTAACGAGTTATTCCAACAGGATAATGCACCCTATCATTGGAGCCAAAGTTGCCAAGAATGGGTTTGAGGAGCAAATGACGAATGGTGTAGCCATAACAATTACCCAACATAAGCCTAATCAAGCATTTATGTGATAAATGTACTAAAAGAGTTTGCACCTACAAATATCAGGTAGCTGTGAACCACTTGTGTAATCTATGCTATGTTGAGTTGCTACAGTTCACCATGTTAGAAAGCAGGAGTCGTACACAATACTCAGCACCTAGCCCATAACTAGAGGTGTGTGTGCGTGTGTGTATATTTTGGGTGAGATCATGTCAAACTATGGTAGGATAATGTTCAAGAGGTAATGCCTCTAAGTGGAGTTGACTCCTCCATCTCCATTTTCCTGTATCAGACTCTCCTTAGACTTGTAATAAATTACCTGTTATTGGTTTTCTGATTAACGCCCAGTCTTTGTGTAATAAGGTTGATACTCTTTGTGCCTATGCAATTATGTCATATCCCAGTTTCTTTACTGCCATTGAAACCTGGACCAGTCTAAATCAGGATGTCATCATTTTTCATTTGCCTGGATATGTTACTGTTCCAATCAACCTAACCAGGTGGAGCTGTAATGCTTTTTCATAAACAAAAGATTTTGATCCAATCCCAGAGAACACAATGGTTTGTAGCATTGATCTTAACGACTCAAGTATTACCATTGCTTATGCATATCATTCACTGAATCATAGCAGAGACAATGTTAGCCAGTTTACCAACCAGCTAAAATTATTTGCCCAATCTTTTCGTTCAAAGTTGTATTAGACTTTAATTATTTTTTAGATGCATTTTATGAGGGCAGACTGGAGTAAGTAGGACTTTCTCCAACCAGGAAGGAGGTTATTTTAGATTTGATCTTTATAAACAATTCCTCCTTTTTAACTTCTACTGAAATCACAGACTATTTTGGGAACAGTGACCATAAGCTTCAATTTCTCCTCAACCCAAACTTAATTAGATACCTTTTAATCATCCCTTTGATTTCTGTGAAAACAAACCTGGATATAAAACAGAACTTAATATAAATTGAGATTATATTTTTTTAAGGCAGATGACATTAACAGAATATAAATCTCTTTTTGCAATGCCATAATAACAACCACTGAACACAAAGCGCAGTTTAGAACAAACTCTTTAAAACCCAGTTGTATGCTAAGCATTTGCTGTTATAAGTGACAACCTACTGAAGTAAATTTGCACAACTACAAGACAGTGTAAACGCATTTTAAACACTGCCTTAGTCAATTTCAGTTAAATTATGAGGAAAATATAGGCTTATCAACTCATATCAAAAATCAAGTGAATATGGAGTTAGCTTTCCTTACTAATATCTGATGAAAATCTGCTTAAATTAACAAACATCTGAGGCAACAACTGAAGTATAGATGACCAAATATTAAACAGTATTACACAAATATTACCCACTATAGCAAAATTTTCAAACAAACATCATATCACTGGATACAAACTAATTTTATAAATATTGCAAACAACTCGTGTGTGCATTTGTTTATATATTAGATAATATGTTATAAATAGTATACATAATGATCTGGTACATAATGGCAAACAATATTGCCAGCTTAATTATTCATGTTTATTGTTAGTCAATTTTTAAAAACTTTTTTTCATTTTCACGCACAAAGAAATTTGAATATATTGACACAATTGTATTTATGTTTCTCTGCATCTATATCAATGTACACACAATTATCCATAACTCATTTGTGTTTGACAACAACAAAAATTAAAAAAAAAAAGATGATTACATCCGTTTAAAACCATTTTTATTCATTCACGCATTTAGCAATATACCGTCTCTTTATCAGGATAAAATTTAAAGTAGGGAAAGAAAAAAAATTTTAAATAATTGCAACATATTATATGCACTTGTAGTTTTTAGCTAACCATTACAAACTGATGCCTTTCCAATGAAACCTATTAATAAATTTTCAATATTCAATGTTTGCTTAGAAAGTATTCATTCATTTAATAACTAAATAAGTAATATTACCCTATCACCAATCATTTTCACCTTACATGCATATCCCAGCATCCATCCCACTTTTTTAAAAAAATTCTGCAAAGTCTTCTTTCAAGATTACCATCAATTGTTTGTGTTCTCATTAATCTTGTTTATAGCATTTTAATTACAATTCTTGAATTGAGAAAAGTGAGAAACCAGAGAATTTGGCTAAAACATCCAAGATACAATGTTTGACCAAAAAACAAAACCACATTTTGCTAATTTATTCACTCTCTCATTGTGACTATGACAATTATACACTATATAAGCTCACTCAATGGTGTCCTAAATATCAACTGTGTCATCCCAAGAGAGAGAGTCTGTTTATGCTTGTGCAGTAAGGTTCCCTTTGACAGGTGTTACAGGGATGCTAACTTACTCCCTCTATAAAGGAAAATAACTCAAAATACAACCGAGTTAGTTCCCTTGTCTGCTAGTGGTAGCACAGCACTTCTGAATCCAACATTGTGACAAGTTGACATGCACATGGAACTCATGGTTTAAATCCCAACTAATCCTTGCCATTCTCAGGCAGTAAATAAAATAAGATAATGTTATGTTAAAATACACTTGTCTTATTTTCATTCAATTTTGTTCATCCCAACAACCTGAGATATAACAATGTTTTACCAAGTTATAGCAAGACCATGTAACCAGTTCTTGAGATGACCGGATATTTTCTGAGCAATCCTCATATTTAATATTAAAAGCACTGAACAACACTTTCCTATCATTGTTTCAATGTTTTCATGCTCTATGCATTAAAGTTGATCTTTGTTATAGAAAGACCTTTGATTATTATATTCAAGCATTATATATCAAAGACCAATTTTGTGGTAAACATATTTTCCAATCTGCCCTAATAATCATTGTTTTAACCCTGGAAAAATACCAAGACTTTCAATGCTGATTTTCAAAGTAGATTGTCCCAATTTCTCCAAATCTATTTAACCCTGTCTAGGTAGACAAAGTCAAGTTTAAGAAATATCAATATTCTATTATTAAATCAGAAGAAACAAGACATTTTTTTTTCATTGAATGAATTCCAATTAGAACAGTAGTCTTTCAAAATGCTTTGTCTGAAAATATTCCTTAAGAAAAAAAAAAAAAAAAAAAAAAAAAAAAGAGAGAGAGAGAGAGAGAGAACAAGAAGGATAAGGAGAGAGAGAATGAAGCCAGTACTTACAGTTCCTCTCGTTGTCTCTGTGAGAGCACCATTGTGGCGAAATAAGGAGAGAAATATTACACACACCACTCACTGCAACTGGTTGTCCCAGCGAAAAAATAGGGGTATTTTTTCCTGTTGATAGGAAGGTAGACACTGGTGCTGGAGATTTCCTTTCTACTATTTTTAAATTTGTCTGTCTGTGTCTGTAATGTGACTGAAAGCCTTAGTGTCTACACAAGAGTACTTCCAGTTCTGACTAGGGAAGGCCAATTTCAACAGTGCAATTCTTGGTCAGGCCACATTCTCGCGAAATCTGAAAATACAAAAAAAGAAACAGATTATGACAATATCAAACAACAACAATAGTTCCATTTCTTAATTTATGTACTAATAAATAAAATATGTCAAAATAAATAAGTAGCATAAGTTCAGTTTATCAAACTGTAGTGTGAAATTTTCCCTTCTTTCTTGTCACAAAGAAAGATTAGAATTTCATTATAGATTAAATTTCAGAAATGTTATTTCCTGAGTAATGTTCACGCTTAACTTTAATATTTTTTGTTTGTTGGCCACCATTTTCTTGTTTGTTTCTTTATCCAGAATGTATACATGAAGAAGGCTGAAGATAGGATCAGTAAAAAAATTGTAACAACAAAAGCAAGATCAGTAGTCCAAATAAATCTTTGAATATTTATTTTCCCCTATAAGTGGTTAATAAAACACTTTTAGGTGTGGATCACCCAATTTCCGGAATTATAATACTGTTTATTAGTCACAAGCAAAATTGAATAAACTCCTAAAACAATATTTTCATTAAAAACAAAACATTTAAATACAAGAAGGGGGGGTATTTTTTTTGTAATTTGCTTATTAAAAAAAAAAAGTAAATCGCAAAACGATAATTGCAAATGGAAATCTAGGTGAAATGCCTTAATATTTCAACATACTTTTAAAAAGAAAAAAAAGATGTCCATATAAAAATGACCTACAATCTGTTAACTGGGGCAAGAGATGGCTAGTTAATTTTAAAGCCACCAAAATAAAATAGTTCTCTTTTAATCATCTGAGAGAACCTTTTTTGTCATCCATCAGTATGGCTGATGCTACCCTCCAAGAGAGGGACTCCTTGGAATTTCTTAATTCTTAATTCCTGTTCTTTTATTGTTCTCCCACCTTAATGCTGTCTTTTTCTCATATCCACAAACATTCAGTAATCCCCGCTTGCATCTTAGTTGGGGTGAAAAAAAAAAAAAAAAAAAAATTCAAAAACTAAAATAAGGTAATTTTCTTGCAAAATCTGCAGTTTTTACAGTAATCATTCTAAGTATACAGTAAAGAAGAACATCTTTTTGTAAACTTTTCACTATCACTATAAATGTTTAGTATTGATATAATCCCTTCAAACCCAGAAACAGTCAACCAATTAATCTCCTTTGAAACTAAAAAAAAAAAAAAAAAAATAATAATAATCAAATGAGAACACTGTTACCACTTTGGTTTATTTATACCAAATATAAAAAAGGGGTGCACTAAATGAACACCTATACATTGACATAGGTATTTTATATATGTCTAAGTTTATCTGCGTGTTTAAATGTAGACAACGAAAAACAACATTTTGACATAGCAACCATCAAGGATTTCTATAGAAATAATTCCTAGAAGTTCTTTCAATTAAATAAAGTTTTTTGTTAAGGAACAGGAAAACATGAATATAAAAGAATTCATGGATTTCAAAATTGACACAAAATTAATTCAACTAAATTAATGTTCAATACACCAACTAGGGCTTCAATAGAATTCGAAAGTTGTGATTTCTACCAGTCGATACTTTTGTAAATCATTTTTAACTGACCCAATGAACTAATACAAGAAACATTAAAAGACAACTAAAAAATGATAGGTAAAATTGTTTAGCATTATATCATGGATATGAGAATTCATTCCAACTCTTTGTCTTCTTTGCTAAAGTTAAGTTTGCTAAATGAACAGTAAGCTTAACTGTGATATTAAGCAAGAATCTTGCCTAATAATAGATTTCATAAAATTTTAGTTTGAATTTCTGAAGTATCTTGTGATGGAAAATAAAAAAAAAAAAAAAAAAATAAGGAAGTTTTAACAATCGAGATGAACTGCTTTCTCATAAATTTACATTGATATCTACAAATCTGTGTTTATGTCTATTTTCCTCTTTGGTTTTCTGATTGTAGAACAAATATTAACAAGCTCACCTCATTAAACCTAATCCCTTGGTTTTCAAGTCTCAAAAATAAGCTAAAATTTGCAAGTATACACAAGAGAGATCACTTCCAATATGGTCTAATTTTTTTAAAGTTTCCATTTCAAGTTTTTAAATCACTTAAGCTTAATAGGAATTTGTAAAATGAAAGTGAAAAAAAATTCTATCCACATGTAGCAAAGCTTTCAAGTTCAAAACTAATGAAACACAGGGAAACAAATTCTGGACTTTATGTGTAAAACAGAATTATTTTTTTTTAAATGACCAGGGCCTTTTTATGTTGGGAGATAAACTAAATTTCATGGGCCAGAACAAATACAAAAAGAAGAGGAAAGAAAGAAAAGGAGGAAAGAAAGAAAAGGAGGAAAGAAAGAAAAGGAGGAAAGAAAGAAAAGGAGGAAAGAAAGAAAAGGAGGAAAGAAAGAAAAGGAGGAAAGAAAGAAAAGGAGGAAAGAAAGAAAAGGAGGAAAGAAAGAAAAGGAGGAAAGAAAGAAAAGGAGGAAAGAAAGAAAAGGAGAAAAAAGAAAGAAAAGGAGGAAAAAGAAAGAAAAGGAGGAAAAAAGAAAGAAAAAAGAAAGAAAAGGAGGAAAGAAAGAAAAGGAGAAAGAAAGAAAAGAAAGGAAAGAAAGAAAAGGAAAAAGAAAGAAAAGGAGGAAAGAAAGAAAAGGAGGAAAGAAAGAAAAAAGAAAGAAAGAAAGAAAAAGGAGGAAAAAGAAAGAAAAAGGAGGAAAGAAAAAAAAAAAGGAAAGAAAGAAAAGGAAGGAAAGAAAGAAAAGAAAAGAAAAAAAAAAAAAGAAAAAGAAAGAAAAAAGAAAAGGAGGAAAAAAAAAAAAAAGGAAAAGGAAAGAAAGAAAAGGAGGAAAGAAAAAAGAAAAGGAAAGAAAAAAAGAAAGAAAAAAAAAAGGAAAGAAAGAAAGAAGAAAAAGAAAGAAAGAAAGGAAAGAAAGAAAGAAAAGGAGGAAAGAAAGAAAAGGAGGAAAGAAAAGAAAAAAGGAGAAAGAAAGAAAAAGGAAAGAAAGAAAAGGAGGAAAGAAAGAAAAAAAGGAAAGAAAGAAAAGGAGGAAAGAAAGAAAAAAAAAAGAAGGAAAGAAAGAAAAAGAAAAAAAAAAGAAAAAAGGAGGAAAGAAAGAAAAAAGAAAAGAAAAAAAAAAGAAAGAAAAAAAAGGAGGAAAGAAAGAAAAAGAAAGGAAAGAAAGAAAAAAAGGAAAGAAAGAAAGAAAGAAAGAAAGAAAGAAAAGGAAAGAAAGAAAAAAGAAAGGAAAGAAAGAAAAAAAGGAAAGAAAAAGAAAAGGAGGAAAGAAAAAAAAGGAAAAAGAAAAAAAGAAGGAAAGAAAGAAAAAGGAAAGAAAAGAAAAGGAAAGAAAGAAAGAAAAGGAGGAAAGAAAGAAAAGGAGGAAAAAAGAAAAGAAAGAAAAAAAGGAAAGGAAAGAAAGAAAAGGAGGAAGAGGAAAGAAAAAAAAAAAGGAGGAAAGAAAGAAAAGAAAAGGAAGAGGAAAGAAAAAGGAGGAAAAAAAAGAAAGAAAAGGAGGAAGAAGGAAAGAAAGAAAAAGGAAAGGAAAAAAAGAAAAGAAAAGGAAAAAGGAAAGAAAGAAAAGGAGGAAGAGGAAAGAAAGAAAAGGAGGAAGAGGAAAGAAAGAAAAGGAGGAAGAGGAAAGAAAGAAAAGGAGGAAGAGGAAAGAAAGAAAAGGAGGAAGAGGAAAGAAAGAAAAGGAGGAAGAGGAAAGAAAGAAAAGGAGGAAGAGGAAAGAAAGAAAATGGAGAGAGAAAAAAAATAAAAAATAAAAAAAATCAAATTTTGAATTTTTGTTTTCTCGACTAATTCAAGTCTTTACTAGTCACCTTAAATTACTTACTTGCAATTTGTTTCACCACCTTACCAATTGGGAAATCTGAGACAGTACTTGGCTGTCAGTTTTATTTTTACTGTTGTTGTTAAAAGTGGGGAGAGAAAGTTATTTTTAACACCTGGCAAAGTTATTTTTGCTAATATATATGTGTGTGTGTGTGTGTGTGTGTGTAACATGCACTTGCATAAGATTCCAAGCAAACAGTACGATACTCTTAGGTAAAAATAAAAAACACTAGACAGATTCTTTTTAAATCCAAGTTTCACAAAAATAGATCATTTGGTCTGTTTAATGGTTGAAATAAATGTTTTACACAAGGGCCAGTGGTTAGGGTTCAAAACCTAGATATAAAATTAAAAATAAGTTATAAAAAAGAAAAAAAAGATTCAAAATGTTGATTTTCAAAACTGGTTCAATTGATTTCAATTAAGGAATCTTAGTAGATAAGAATAAAGATTTTTTTTTTTTGCTCATCAACAAATATATGACTCACAAAATCATTTTCATTTCAATATTAGAATGTCCTTTTGTAGCCACAAGATAAACAGTTACCTATATCCTAGAAGGCAAATGATTATATCAAAAATGTCCAATTTATCTTAATATTAACAAAAAATAAAAGTTTACAAACAAAATATTCTTTTTATTAATCAAACTCCCCAAAGGATTTTAGTTTAATTACTCTCCTGTAGACATTTAAGAAAAAAAAAATAACATAGCATATTTTAAGGAACTATGCTTTCAATGTGTTCCAGGAGTTTAAGCAATTCTGATATTGTCAAAACATGTGTGATAATAGGCTTCACTAACTTAATAAGAAGGGAACCACCAAATTGTCTGCGCTCCATTGCTTAAAATAAGCAAAAGCAACAAGTCAAATATGTATTTGAATAACTAAGTTTTCTCAATAGTGTAATAACTTTTACCAACATGACACTTGGAATACACCTTCATATCACTGACT